GGCGTTGGTCGACCCAGCAAGTCGATCGAGTGGGAAATCGACCCAGCAGTCGATTCAAGTGGTGATCGCCCAGCCAGTCCATCAAGTGGGGATCGACCAGGGCAAGTCGATCAAGTGGGGGATCGACCCAGCAAGTCCATCAAGTGGGGGATCGACCCAGCAAGTCCATCTAGTGGGTGATCGACCCAGCAAGTCCATCAAGTGGGTGATCGATCCAGCAAATCCATCAAGTGGGTGATCGACCAATCAAATTGATCAAGTGGGTGATCAACCCAGAGAGTCGATCAAGTGGGTGGTCGACCCAGCAAGTCGATTAAGTGAGGGAACGACCCAGCAAGTCGATCAAGTGGGTGATCGGCCTAGCAAGTCCATCAAGTGGGGGATCGACCCAGCAAGTCGTTCAAGTAAGGGATCGACCCAGCAAGTCCATCACGTGGGGGATCGGCCCAGCAAGTCGATCAAGTGGGTGATCGGCCTAGCAGATCCATCAAGTGGGGAATTGACCTAGCAAGTCGATCAAGTGGGGGATCGAAATAGGAAGTCGATCGAGGGATCGACCCAGCAAGTCGATCACGTGGGGGATGGACCCAGCATGTCGATCGCGTGGGGGATCGACCCAGCAAGTCGATTATGTGACGGATAAACCCAGCAAATCGATCAAGGGTCCGACCGAAACGTGATTCCGTGATATTTATGATCTTTCATATAAAAATAATTTTGATCCTAGAAGATAATTTACGAAGTATGTTTATTTTTTATCAATATTACAAAAGATATTATTTAAACATTTCAAATACTAAGACCAAAGTGAAGGCATTTATGGAAAAACATACGCACTTCTTCAAATGTATGACATGTGGCCAGTTGTCATTTTTAATATCTTAAAAATAATACAACCTGTTTAACAGGGGTAGATCAACATAAAAAATCCAAAAGTTCCAGAAAATATACTGCCTGCTCGACCGCAAGGGAGAAGGGATAATCACTCTGACACCAGGATTTTTGTGTCATCGGTATATTGTAAAGTTCCATGGTTTATCTTCCTACAATCCTGCTATATTTGTCTTTGTACGATTTTATCTCGTAAAGTAAAGGATGAAATTACGTTACATATTTCGTAAATAATTATGAGTTTTCATTTTCGATCTATTACAGGCAAATAACACATCCACTCTCTCTCTCTCTCTCTCTCTCTCTCTCTCTCTCTCTCACACACACAAACACACATTGAGATTTTCGTAGAGAAACAAAATATTCCTATATTTTTAGTTCAGTTATAATTCACTAGTTATATAATGACACGATCTGTACACGGAGCATAAGGTTGGGAAGTGCAGGTGTTGCGGTTCAAGTGCCCGAGATTGGGCGTTAGTCTGGGTGCAGGTCTCGGAATGCACCTTGCAAGCGGAATTCGTTGCACACGGCCAAAACGAACGAATGTGTTTGCCGACCGGCCATTCTCCAGCGCGGGAGGCACTGTCACGTGAACTAGAGGTATATAAGTTAGCGGCGAAAATCGCTTGGCGGGATTCGATAACGAATGAAATCTTCGTGCTAATGCTCATTTGTCCACCCATGCGGTTGTGCTCGCAAGCCTCGACTATGCGAGTTGTTTCTGTCGCCATAGGACTACAGGCCAGAAGCGCGACGCGAAATAAGATGAAAATTAATTGTTCAAGCAATCAATGGCAAAATACTATCTTTCTGACTTCAGGGAGAGAAGGGAGGAATGACTTCGATACATGGGACTGACACGCATTGTAAAGCAAGCGTTTATGTGTAGAATGCGAGGTACAAGACAGAGGCAGATCGTTATAGAAATATAATTCGTAGAAGTCAGAAAAGGTCATGAACCCATCCTTGGAGTAGAGGAGATGATCATAAGGGTGTCAACTCTGTTATTTGTTAATACGAACATAACTGCGTCATCGCATGCCAGTACCCATAAAGCTAAAAAAGGATAGTTATTTTTTAATTGCTGAATTGTTTGCAGAGCTAAAAATTAATCTTAGACGTAGCACCGCTTTAACCGCCGTGCCTGGCCATGCCACCGCGCTGACAGAGGGCCCACAACGGGCGGGTGGGTGACGCAACGGCGCAGAAGAGGGAGTGGGGGGGGGGGAGGTGTTTTCGTAAATTTCACTTTACAACGCTCCTATTCGTCCGATTTGCATAATTGTCACGGCGTTGGATTCAGGAAGCATGTCGCCATCGCGCTATAAGGCCACATTTTTAAATTTGTTCTCGGAAGTTTGAGAACTAATTTCAAATTCGCGTTTTTGCTAGATTTTTGGAAAAAGGTCATCGTCGCGTAAATTCTATTTTAAATAGGCGTCAAATGCCGCTTACAGATCGAAAATCGAACCATTGGTTTAGACGTTATGGGTTAAGTAAATTTTACTTATTTTGGTGCTGCCATGTGGTGGCTACAAATAGTACTAGTGTCGGGACATTTAGCCTTAATCAGCTGGAACTTTAATTCTGTTGTGACGTATACACAGCCACCAACGGCAAGAACGATTTGTGAAAATTAAGCCATTCGACTCTTAAACAGTGCTCGTGTTAACATTTTCTATAATACAATGCACAGCACAGTCCCAAGTAAGATTATCACAGGCTGCAATAATCCTGTCTCTATATTGGCGGATGCGAGTGCAATGCCTCCAGTCACAACGCCAGTTCTGTTCGCGATCATTTCACATTCGTTTTATAACTTGTTTAGAGCGCAGAGCCATTGCTTCGCCGTCGCCATACGACGCACTTCGCGCCCTCGGCACCTGTCCGGCGCAAGCTTCGCTCCGGTCACCGCTGTGACCTCACAGCTCGTCTATGATCAACGCCCGTCGCGTGACGTCATCTATACGTCTCTACAGACAACGTTAAACACATTGTATGTCTATCAATGGCACAAGTTTTTCGACAACTAGGACTTCAATGATTATTATTAATCCAACAATACACCAACGGTGTAACTGTAAGTCATTACTCTATCACAAGAGAATGCTTTTAATTGATTTGTTGCTCAGTTAAATTTAATTTAACTACTTAAACTTGTGCCTAAACTTGCCTACTGATTCTCCCAATAATAGCATCATCCCCTGTTAATATCAATTACAGGTAGGCGCAAATGCTCGCCAATAATAAGCATTTTGGTCCTTCGAAAGCGATTGTAATGGTGAGTGTTATATGATGGTGCTTTCGTAGGCAATCCGCCTTTACGAGTAGTTCACTGGCAACTACGCTAGCCCTAACAGAAGTTTTACAGTATACTCACTGCATCAGGAATGTGCTCAATGAAGATGTTATCACTAAACTTCACAGCTATTGTCTTAGCATGTATACTTGGCCACAAGTGAAGTAGTTGCTGCAGTCGAGCAGAGGGAAATGTGTCTTCTGTGCAGATGTACACAGCACCTGCAAATGTTATAGCAGAAATCATTTTTAGTTCACATGAATAAATAAAGCATAGCAGAACCAATTTTAAGTGTCACCACGAGGCAAGCTCGGAAACCCCACAACACCCACAGAGCTTCGGCGAATCTAGAGATCACTAAACCACAGGGGAAGCTGAACAAGTTACTACCGAAACAGCGCTATCTGTCGGTTGCGGCCAGCAGCACGGCGGCGGCGAACTTCTAGCTTACGAAAAACGCGGAAGGGTTCGCTGTGAAGTCACGCTACCTATTAAATAGCGGAGCAGCTGACCAATCGTTCTTCTTTCTGCACGAGACCCCGAGGTGAGAGGACCAGAGTGGTAGAGATCAGAGAGAGAAGTCGCGAGCGGTCGAGAGAGAAGTACAGAAATTGCAATATCCAACGAATATTCAGCAGTGTTTGAACGTAGTGAAGTCGAAGAGAATTAGAAAAGTAAGCAGCATTCAACTGCGATGGCTCAGTTATACATTTGGGCGGAAATTAGTAGTTGAGAGGAAGAATAGCCAGAATATCGCCAGGCGTCATAAGACTGCTAATTAGGCAACACGAGTCTGATGTGTTGAGGAACGTCGTAATTACGCCACTAGTAACACGCGTCGGCGGGCTACCTATACCGAGTGGCCAAGCAAGAAGAGCAATGGAGCCGATTCCGAGGGAAGGACGTCAGCGTTGGAGCCACGTCGAGGAGCTGAACGGGAGAGCGCAGTGCCGACAGCCGGAAATTAGAACGAGGTCACGCGACGCCGAAGAAACCAGGTTTGCGAGCTGCATATTGTGCGCCAAACGAAAGGTAACACATTTTGTAAAGGGATTGAGAGCCGACAGACTTGAACGTTAGAGCAGCAACAGAAAGACTGTAATTGTAAATTTACATAAAATCTACCTAACGGCAAAGCAATTGAAAGAACCTTGTACGCCGGTAATTCAGTTCATTCTAGTGCTCCGAGAAAAGCTGTGTTAATATTTGACGAGGAAATTAATTGTAAATAATTGTAGTTGAACAAGTCATTCAACCATGTGTTCTAAGATTCCGTGTAGAAATAGGGATAAATTTTCTTGCACTCATCAGAAGGGAGTTAATATTTTGTCGTTTAAACGGCAATAGTTACCGTGCACGGGTATTTTTGTAACAAAGTAGTGAATTGGGAAGAAATACTCGAATCAGAGTAAGGAAACGATGCCAATTTTCAAAGGGTGTGAACAATAATTTGATTTCGAGTTGAATATTTGTGTTATCCGATGTGTTTTTTTGTATTCTTCGTTCAGTTCTGACATGTGTCATATTCTGGAGAATATGCGCACTGTTTTACCTGATTCTGTCTGGGTGTATATCTTTATTATATAGAACCTGCCCCCATTCGATCTTATGCCTACCACAAGCTAGCGTTAGAATATATATATATATATATATATCATATGTGGCGTTATGGGATTGTGCAACCCCATAACACCAACGTCTCATGTGTGAACACTACGGAGGCAGCGAGGCTAACAGGCGCATAAGGCAGAGGTACTTAAACGCGCGGCCTGGTATCCGTTGCCCGTACTAAACGAAAGCAAACTAGCAAGCAATGTTTTCCTTGTGAAGGGTTGAGAGAGGGGAAGCAGCCCCACCACTCAGAATTTCCCCAGGCGCCGCGCGATAAGTACGCGAAACCGCAAGCGGAAGCTCTCTTTTTCTTGCCACCACGCGTCGAGTAAGCAGCTCTTTTCTTGCTACCACGCGTCGAGTAAGCAGCTCTTTTACCACCAATAGCCGAGTCAACACTTTCGTTAAACATTAGTTTAGATATTGTTTGTCGCTACAACGACTACTAGGTAGGAGTATTCGGCGTCGAACAGACGTTCTAGTCAGTCGTCCGCGAGATAGTGAGATTAAGTAGTGTTTTCTTCAATAACAACACGGGAAAGATAAAGTTTGCCCGTTGTGAGAGAAGCTCATTGAAAGTTCTGGCTTAGTAAAGAGAAAGTAGCAACCGAGGCGAGGAAACTTTCACGAAGTTATTCACTGAGTGCAAGGGACTTGGTTCGTCAACGGTGGGCGTAGTACGAGGCGCCGGTAGCAAGACCGAGAAGAAGAGGCCGAGGCACCCAGGGCGCACGAGAAAGACGGAACGGTTGGGAGGAAGAACGCGACGAGCACAGCAAGAAGGCAACGCGCAGACGGCAGAGGCGAACCCGTCCTTTACGACGCAAGAAGCTGGGACCGAACGGCGTCGGCGCAACGACCAGCGCAACGACCATCAAGGCCAAAAAGTGGGGAGTCCACGAGAGTGAACAGTTAGGAAACCGCGGAAAATAGGTCAAGTTCACGTCGGCAGGGAAAAAACTAGTATTAGCGGAAAATGTTAAGAATTTTGGAGAATACGGGTGACAACTAAATTTGCAGTATTGAGTAGGAGACATTTTGATTGGCGTCCATTGTCCTGCATAAACATTCTTACGTAGACAGATTATTATTCTGCTATTTTCAGACACAGTTAAATTGTTAAATCAGGAGTAGTGCACCTTGCACTACATTCTGTTCTTTTACATGTAATATTTTTGAAAGCAGGAGATTGTAAAATTGGAATTTTTGTTTCATGTGGCAATGGTAAATAGAATATGCCACAAATTAAGGGGATATAATTAATTTCCCACAGGTAATTCCCATGATAGATAAGGGTAAATTATTCCAAGTATCAATTTTGAACGTAAATTCATGTGTTCTCTTCAATATGAGGTGATGTTGTGAAAACGGTTTCTATTTGCTGGTGTTTGTTAATTCTTTTGAAAAGTGTGATTCTATATTCTTGGTTGCATAAACTTATGCACTAAAAGTTTATGGTAAATTATCATAACGCTCGTTTGTGTGCATCTGTGTGATTTTATTGGTGGTCAAGGGTTTCAAACCTTTCCTCGGCACCCTGAAAGATCCTTGCTCCTAAGATTTTTTAAAGCTCGCTCACGAGCAAAATCTTGATAACCCGCTTACGGTTCGAATGCGTGCTGCTGTTGCAGTCAACGAAGTTGTGGGTGTAGGTGTGTTAAGCTAGAAATTTATATATATATATATAATATATATATTTATTATTTGTGACGCTTATGGGGATTGTGCAACCCTATAACTCCACCGTCTTCGTATGTGTGGTGAACACCCACCCGGGCAGAGCGTGGATAGCAGGCGCAGAAAAGAGTTTCGTAAACGCGCCGGACTGGTATGCCCGCTCCCTGTACTAAACTAAGGTGAACTTCCAAGCAACGTTTTCCCTTGTGAAGGTTAAGAGATGAGGGGAAGTACTCCACTCAATCTGAAGAATCTTCCCAGGCCACGCGCGCTAAAATATGCGGAACTTGAGACCGGAAACGGAAAGCTCTCTTTTACCACTTCGAACGAGTTACACGCATTTTGATCACCGCTCGCCGAGTCACCATTTTCGATTAAACATTAGTTGACGATATTGTGCCGCTGCAACGACTGGCTAGATAGGAGTATTCGGCGTCGAACCAGACGATGTACTAGTCAGTCATTCCGCGAGATAGAGCAGATTAAGTAGTTCTTCAATATTAAACGACACGCGGAAGTAAAAAGTTGAGCGCCGTTGTGAGGAAAGCATTGAAAGGTGTTTGGTTTAGCAAAGAGTGAATAAATATGAGCAACGAGCGAGAACTTGCTACGGGTGCGGCTGGACATTTTCGCAAATGTGGGCGTTGTCAGAGGCGCCCCGGTAGCAGACGGCGTGGAAGATAACGGACGGACCCAGGCGCACGAGGAAGAAGACGGAACGCGCTGAGAGGAGAACGAAAGAGACGCAAGAAGATAGGCGTAACGCAGAGGCGAAATCCCGTCTCTCAGGGACGCAGGAAGACTGGGAGCCGAACGAAGTAGAACGCGGAGCACCAGAGCGGGCCCCGACGACCATCAAAAGCCAAAAGTGGAGTCCACGAGGGTAACATTTTAGGGCGCGGAAAAAATAGGTCAAGTTCACGGATCGGCCAGGGGAAAACTCAGCATATAGGAAAAGTTGGTAGGAAATTGCAGGGACACGGGTGGCAACAATTGCCAGTATTATAGTAGAGACATTTTTGATGCGTATTGCCTGCATAGAAAGCATTCTACTGTGAGTGGTGGATATATTCTGTGCTATTTTGCAGAGCCCAACCAGGTTAATTGTTAAATGAGAGTAAATGCATTAGGCACGCATTTTGTTCTTTGGAATGTTAATTATTTTGAGCCAGGAGATTGTAACCTTGAAATTGGTTTCATGTGACGGGTGTGATTGGAATAGCATACCATTAGGAACATAATTAATTTTCAAGGAATATTCCAGTGTAGATTAGGTAATTATTTCAGAGTATCAATTTTGGAGTAAATTATGTGTTCATTCATATGAGTGTTTGTTGTAAAGGTTTTTATTTGTTTTGATCATTCTTGGTAAATGTGTGATTCTATATTCTTGGTTTTTGTCATTAACTTATGCCACTAAAAGTTTATAGTAAATTATACGCTCGTTTGTGTGCAATCTGCGTGATTATATTGTGTCAAGGGTTCAAACCTTTGTCGTACCCTGAAGATCCTGCTCCCTAGATTTTTAAGCTGGCTTCACGAGCAAAATCTTGATAACCCGCTTACGGTTCATGCGTGCTGCTGTGAAGGTGGTAAGTTTAAGTGTGGGGGTCGGTGGGTTAGCTATAATATATATATATATATATATATATATATATATATATATATATATATATATATATACTTTCTTTTTCAAATTGAACTATACATAGTTTTCAATCTATCATGACGAGCGTAAAAACACGAATCCAATGATATTTTTCTACTTGTGTTTAACGGATATTTTGAATGTAACAATCTGCCACACAAGGTCGCGCAGCGCTCTAGGAAGGGGACGGATCTTAGTGTTTGAAGGTACGAAACATTCCAAATATTCACAAAATGTTGCAGTATCTTTAGTTTTAAGATCTCATTAATATCCCATTATATCGTC